CCGCAATAATGGCTCGGCCCGGCACTCCTTCACACAGAGCGGTGCAGCCATGGCCTGCTGCACTGACACCTGCTGTCTTTTGCCAAGAGTGACCAGAAGAGAGAGCAAGATGGATCACACACTTTGCTCTTCTGATCTGCAAAAAGTAATTCTCATCACTCTCAAATGCCTTTGGGAGGCTGGGTTTCAAATAGAGATGAAACCTAAATCCCCTAAGGTTGGTTGCAAACAAATGTTTGCTATAAAACCGTCCAGTTTTATTGCTCTGTTAAGCAATTGTGAAGATACAAAGAGACAGAACGCTAGAATGCTAGAATGCTAGAATGCTAGATAGCTAGATAGCTAGATAGATAGATAGATAGATATAAAAAGAGAGGGAGAAGCTGGAAGGGAAGGAGGGATGTATGAAGGGTGGAGGGGGCACCAACAGGAGGCAACATGAGAGGACAAGCCTTTTAACATCTGGGTAAGCACAGACGAGCAGCCGCTCTGCAGCCTAATTATTAGAACACTCTTACTTAACTTAACCTCGTCACTAGACCGTGACAGAGAGAGGGAGGGAGCAGGAACCAGAGCAGGAGGACAGATGAGGGAGGGAGGGAGAGACAGAAGGAGGGGGATTTTTGTTGGGATGACAATGTTGATCTCCTTAACTATTCACCTGCCGGAGAAAATCGACAATAGTGTCGGCTTGAGAAAAAAGAAACCTAAAAACGTTTCTCTCCAACTCCAACTATTTTTTATTGTTTGATAATAGCAGATTTCCATTATTATGATGTATCCTGGTGCATTTGCCACTTCTGCTGCAACTGTTTCCTAAAGTTTTCAATACACCCGAAAAAAAAACACACACAAACATGCCACTGACATCTGCTCTGACAAAAAAAAAGAGGTAAAAAAACAACAACTGTGTGTTTTTACAGCTGTCAGTGCACACTGCTCTTCAGAGCTTTTGAAAGGGAAAAGACGGCGGAATAACTATACACTCTGACAGATCTGTGCAGCCCAATCGAAAAACATGAAAACAAGAATCAATCACGCAGACAGAGTAGGGAGTGAGGAGAAAGAGAGAGCAGAAGAAAGAAAAAGAGACAGAGAAAGAGCACCAGCAAATAATTAAAGGCTCAAACCCAGTGGCTGACTGGCAACTACAAAGCCAGAGAGCGACAGGGAGACGCAATGCAAAAATAACCATGCTTGCTAAAAATCTCGGCGCAACTGCTCAGGAGCCGTGTAAATTAGAGGACGAGTCCCTGCCAGGTTTGCCACTGTAACAATATATCCTCGTGACTGACACTCTGACGTGTTTGGGGAGGACACGAGAGAATCTTTTAACATGTGTTGATGTGTGCTATAATCTGTGCTATATATCGACCCGAGCTGAAATCATTTGAAGTTCAGAACAAGTGTGTGGAAGCTCCACGGGGAAGGACGGGCGGTCGGCGGCCCTGCTATAAGACCGTCTCGCTGCTGGGGTGGTGGGGGTTAAGCACAGAGCTGCCAGCCACCCGGTTCCCTGTAAATCAGTGGGGATTTATGGAGACAGGCCCACGCGGCTCACGGGCTGGTCACGTCAGGAAGGAAGCCTGTGTGGCTGTGCTCTGTTGTCTTAAGGATTTTTTCCCTTTTATTTCAGCTGCTCAGGAAGGCAGCTGCAGTCTGCGTTTCAGCTCACAACGCTGCTGATTGCTCATCCCCTGCCTTTTATTATTTTTTTATCTTTCTTTCATCTCACTCTTCCTCATTCCTTGCCTTCTCTACTTCTAAGACTACGTCTAATGTCTTATTTTTTCTGTAGGTCACACTGAGTTTGGAAACAGGTTACACTATATCAGTCTCTCTGTTTATCACACACACACACACACACACTTTCCCTCTGGATGTGAAGCTGGGATAGCTGTCCTGGGTCAGGTTCACTGCTCAGCTCTGCTGTGCTAATGTGTGTCGGGAGAAGGCAAACAAACATGCTACAGATGTAACACATTCACACTGGGAAATGAACACACACACACACACACACACACACGCACACACAAACAAACATCAAATGCTAGAGACAAAATTCCATGGTGACCATCATTTCTTCCAAAATTAGTCAGTTAGTCATACTACTCTAAATTCATACTAATGAATTATAATAATAATGATCACATTACTGTAATATTAGACTATAACATTGGACTTTTTTTTCTTTTTTTTTCTTTATTTAATATCTTTGATATAATTATAAAATATAAGCTAAATTAAATTAAATAAGAAAATGAACCAAAAAAAGTCATAGAAAAACATTTTATATTATAAATGATATAAATATAAAATCTAATAAATTAAATAATTAAAAAAAATGAACAAAATAACAGTAAATATTCTATATATACACAAAACAAGGTAACCAGATTTGATTTAATTTGGTGAAAAATATGGTTAAAAAATTGTTTTTGTAAGGGACACATTCTATTCACACGTTGTTCTCCTTTCCATTCAAAAATTATGAAAACATCATGCTGTAAAGCTCTAGATGTGACATGTTGTAACTCTTGAGAGGGCCGAGACTATCTGCAGGAATTGTGTCATCATAGGACTGTATCTTACCAACGTTTCCTGCTCGCTAGCGTAGAGGCTGAGAATCACACTAGCTGCACTACAGTGCAGATTTGGGGCTTAATGCCCAGAGAGAGGACAGGGTTCCTGAAGTGACAGCCAGTAGCACGGTAGCCAGTCAAGGGGAACCCAATTTAAGTCTCTTCTACAACACTGCTTGAAATTAAATTGCATTAGAGCCCTTGGTGGGCCTAAGGTTTAATCTAATTAGATTCGGCTTTAAAAGAGAGGAGGAGAAGAAGAGAGGCAGAGAGTGAGAAGGCAAAACTGTCTCCCACTCTTCAAATTTTAAAACGCTCTCTCTCTGTTTTTTCTCTACAGAGAGAAGACTGAGGCTTTCCTATCCCTTCCGCCACCCTAATCCCCTCTCATTTCAGCAAGAGAAGCCGCTGCTCTTATCTGATAGTATGAATGTCAGATTACAGTCCATTGAGGGACTTGGATTATACCTGGATTGGCCCTCGAGAGCTGCTATCTGTGCTTAATCTGAGTTGAGGGTGAAGGTGTTATAATCCCTCTAGCCGAACGGACGGGCACTGTATCACTGCTTCCTGTGCTGCTGCTGGTTCAAAAGCGCTATGGTGGATGTCTTAAAGAGCGCTCTCAAACGAGACCCCCTCAGAGGAGAAATTCTAGATGAGATACTAGACACAGTTTCCTCTAGTCTGTCTCTCTTCCTCCCTCACACTCCTGCCTTCCTCTCTCGTTTCTTGTTGGGTGTCATTCATGCTCCTCCCAGCCTGCGTGCTGCTGTTTTTATCGGATCAGTCTCAGCTCACCGCCCTTGTCTCTCATCTGTACGATCAAGGGTGCTTCCATCTCTTCCTCTCTTTCTGTATCCCTCTCTCGCTCTTTACCCCGCTGCTGGGCCTCCCTGTTGTACTATAGCTCTCCCAAAAAGAGCGAATTTGAAAACTAAAAATCTACAAATTTCTGGATTTGAGTGAGAGTGCACACATGAGGACAAATGCTATAAAGGACAGTTCTTCTGAGAGAGAGAGAGAGAGAGCGAGAGAGAGAGAGAGAGGAATTTTAAAAAGAGAGATTGGCAGAGAGAGGCATAAACCAATAAATAGACAAGAAAGCCAGATAAAATAAACAGGGAAAAAAGGTCCCATTTAATGTATAACATAAGTTAACGGATTAGCTATCTTGAACTAACAATGAGCAATATATTATTTTACAGCATTTATTAATCTTTGTTAATGTTAGTTAATAAAAATACAATTGTTAATTTATGTTAGTTTGTAGTGCATTAACGTATGTCAATCAATTCATCTTTTGATATTAAAAATGTACAGTATTAGTTAATGTCACATAAAGTAAAATTAATAAATGCTGCTGAAGAATTGTTCAATTTTAGTTCAAGTCAATTAATGTAGTTAACTTTTTTATTTTTTAAATGAACCTTATTGTGTGTTACCAGAAAACAGAGACATTATGTATACATTATGAATTCATTTACATTAATGTGTGTGTCTCATTACATAGCAATTGTCTTCTTCTCAAATCAGATTTATTTGGAAAAACAATTACTTCTTTTCGCTAGTAAACATCTTGAGAATGAAAGTGGCTAAGAAGTGGTTTCTGTTTGTGTGTGTGTGTGTGTGTGTGTGTGTGTGTACCTATGTTTTCATTGGGATTCTAATGTATTTGAGTAAGAGTGGTCAGGTTGGATTACTTCAGTAATACCAGTGGACTTCCGCTCTGCAGAGGTCTTATGAATCTGTGCACACATTTCACATTTCCTCACCTCCAAAACGCACACATACACACTCATATACACACTCTCTCACCCAAGAGAAACCTCCATTTCATTTATGAGTGTTATCTGTGGAATGTATCTGCTCTGTAAGACCGGTAGGGCACACTCTCTAAACATTTCCAAGCAGTTTGACTTGTGAAGTGGGACACACTTTCTACATTACAGAGATAACATATCACAACAAGAAATTTAAAAGTTAAACACTGTTGCACACACACACACACACACACACACACACATACACACATATATATATATATAATTAATTTAATTATTCATCTTTATTCTTTTATTTTTATTTCCAACTGTTTTTTAATCAGTTCATTATTTTAAATGTTTTTCTAAAATTGCTCTAGACTAACTTTAGTTTAATTAACTTTACGACGAACCTAATAGATTTTTGAGACCCATTTGAGTGTAGCTAGCTTATGTAAAAAGAGACAGCAAAACAAAATGTACAAAAAACAAAGGTTATCAAACAAATGTGTGGGACCTTATTGCTACACAACCAAAAAAAATCAATTTTGGGATCTAAAAGTAGTAGCAGACTCTTAAGTATCTGAGTTATTTGTACAGATGTAACACAGTTAGCGGACATTAATAGTGTACTTCATTTAAAAAAGACTGTACTCACAGCGCTCAATGCGATCCTCCGGACTGGACGAGGTTTCTCGGTCCGACAGCAGGCCTGACACTGCGAAGATCTTCTTCCCCACATCTTCCACGGCTTTGAGAGCACTAGGCGAGCTGGAGGGGATCTGAGCACCACCAAAGTCATACTCTTTCCCTTCTGCGTCCGAGTAGCGCAGGTGTGGGGAGGCCTCGGCCTCCAGGCAGCCCTTTAGCCGCTTGGCTGGGGTAAAGGCGGACTGGTATCCACCTCCCGCTCCATCACGGTCCTCCAGAGGAGAAGCGAATGGCCGGAAGGCCCCAATGCCACTGTGGTTGAGCATGCTTATGGGTGAGCAGTCCAAATTTGGAGGGGCAAACTGATGATGGAGGTGTAGGAGGGAAGGAGGGAAGTCCCTATTGGGGAAGCCTGGTGGTACGGCGCCCTGCCGGTGGTACATGGAGGCGAACGTGTAGGAACCGTTGTTGAAGGGAAGGTGAACATCCTTCTCCACAGAAACCGGCACGCCGAACGGGCGAGGCTGCTGGCAGGAAATGGAGGCATCGCGGCTGGCCTCCGCCGTTGATGCTAGCACCATTAGCGCCGGGGATGCTAACGGGTTGGGCAGGTAGGAGGAGCTCTCCATTTTGAAAGCTGCCCGGTGCAAGTCCATTTTTGAGACTGGGCTGAGGTTGGGCGGAGGGGGGGTTAGGGGCGAGAGCAGAGGGATGTGGGGGAGGGGTGGAGAGAAGAGAGACGGGGTAAACGGTATGGGCAGAATGGTGCAAACTTTTGCGCTGTCGACACTCTGGCAGAATCGGGGGTCGCTCTCACTGGCGGCTCATCCTCGATGGTCCTCCACCTGAAGAAAGTTGAACAGAGTAGGAGTTAAACCACTTAAAAACACTCTGAAACTCTTGCCTACTTTTCCCTTTCCGAAATAGAAAGTTTCTCCCATAGATCTGAGGTTCAGATCACATATAAGCCTCTTACTCCATCTCCCTGTCTGTAGAACAGAACGGCGTCTGAGGCAGATAAGAGCCGTGCACTGATCAGATAAGAGTGCGGCCCTGCTCGTGTGAACACCCTGCTCCTCTGCCTCCGATGGGATTCTCATACTGATATCATATCAGCCTGCCATCTGCACAGGAAATTTGACTGAATGAATAAATTAGACGCACTTCACCCCTTGACCTCTGCTGCAGCCAAACAGCCCGAGAAGAAGCCCTGGAGGATAACATTCAGTGATTGCCAAAAGTGTGAGTGGGTTTAATGAGAAGCGTTTTAGCCAATCTGTCTATTTGTGCGTGTGTGCGTCTGTCCGTCATCACTAATCCTTTGTGGTTGACCCGAAAGTGATCTATAACAAGTTAAATGGACATTTAACATACGTACATAAAATTCTGAAATTATTGTACTGCTCAAACTGCACACTCAAATACAAAACAAAATGACTCTGTTTAACAATTCTTTATTTTTTATCATCAACCATCATTAAAAAGGGTAAAAAAAAAAAAAAAAAAACTTTTTGATTTTGAATAACATTACTTCTTTGAGGACATAAAAGTGAAATACACTACTGTTCAAAAGTTTGGGTTCAGTAAGTTTAAAAAAAAAAAGAAATGAATACTTTTATTCAACAAGTATGCATTAGTCTAATTAAAACTGACATCAAAGTAATTTATTATGTTGCAAAAGATTTCTATTTCACATAAATGCTGTTTTTTTTTACTTTCTATTCATCAGAAAAAAGTCCTGGACAAAACTTCCACAAAAGTAAATAAGTAATATTTTTAAGTAATATTAAATGTTTTCAATAATATTTCACAATATTTCATGTTTATGCAATAATATTTCACAAATGTTATTATATTTTTGATTAAATAAATGCAGCCTTAGTGAGCATAAGAATCTTCTTTTAAAAACATTCAAAAAAACTTGCCAACCCCAAACTTTTAAACAGTAATGTTGTGAGATGTCACATATATGTACAGAAAACAGAATTCAATCTGTGCATCTGGAGAACAGGCCTTCTTATTCAGAGTAATTAAAATAGATGGGCCTTTAGACTTGTGTCACGGCGAGGCCATTTCAAATGCCACACAGAATATCAGGCTGCATCAAAGAAACTCCTGGGGAATTTATCAGGGCATTTTTACAGATATCAGCAGTCCAGAACACTCATTCGAATCAATTTTAAAACTCGATCTGCACACACACACTCTGCGGGCCCAGTAAAAAGAGCTTTACATTATCACATACATGGCAGGGGAATGTGTGCCGTTTCCTGTCTGTAGAAAATGGGTTACACTACACCTCTTGATGCTGGCGAGAAGCCCAAGAATCGCATTACATTCCGTCTTCTCACTCGGCCTAGCTGGGAAAATAGCACCTTGAAAATGCACCAATATCGAAAGCCCCTTCTTTTTTATCCACTCTCACACTCATCAGGGCCTCGTCTCTGTATCGAATCTCTCCCCTCGGATAACCTCTAAAAAATGAGTGCGGGTGGGTGTTGATAGCAAGGTAATACAGTGATAAGTACCTGGATATTTCAATTTTATTATCATTACCATCAGCGCAGTCAGGCAGTGTGAAACTGACAATCCAATAAAAGGACACAGGATATCCCCCCAGTGGCGCACCAGAGAGAGAGAAAAGGGGGCACAACTAGGCTGAGTGTTGTACAGATGTGCTAATCATTTCTGTGACTGCGGCCGGTCTGCCTGGTGCCCCAGCTACACACACGCACAAAAGCATGCACAAACTGAGAGCCCAGTGTCCCAGAGCAACCAAAGAGAGCAGTGAGTCAGCCTGACACACACTGACACGCCAAAGAGTGTGTGAGCGAGAAACAGAGACTGCGCAATGTCCACCACAACTCTTGTCACGCTTCTTTCCCTCCGTCTATCAAGAAAAATCTAATCTTTGCAAGCAAAATCAAAGATTCAAGAAACCATCTTAAATGAGGCAAAATAAAATCCATTTCAAAGTGCTCAACATAGTAATTCATCTCTGTATTGCAAGATTAAAAAGTAGACTTGAATGACAAAGTACAAAAGCTCGTGTTGACATAAAATAACAACAGAGACTAAATAAATAAATACATGTTATTAGTTTTTCATTTAATGTAATAATAATAATAATAGTTAATTCCCCTAGAAATGAACATTTAAATTTCATTATGCTATATTTGTCACAAGTTAAAAATTGAGATTGATTATCTGGGAATAAAATAAATCTGTCACTGAATAGTTACAGTGATCCAGCATAAATCTAGCATTGCATTTCCTTTTCAAATGACATCGTTATGATATTGCAGTGTCAGTTGCCATGATGAGCTATGTCTCTCTCTCTCAGAAAGTTAGTGATGTAAGGAAACAGAAAAGGTACAACAAAGACAAATAAGAAGTTGTCAATGACACATTTTCTCAGCACAGCTCTGGGGAGCAGTGCAAATGAATCCAATTTCATCGAAAACAAACAATGGTCAAATTTGACTGCAGAGAGAAAATGCAAAAAGTTTCGGCGGAGGGTGTCACTCAAACCGCAGCTCCTGCTCCTCTGCCTGTCTGTCAGTATATTTAGAGATTGTTGACAACCGTGAAAGTGCCACTCTTACATTTTATTACAGGACAGGGCAGACACTGTCATTCAAAACACACACATTCAAATCCACACATCTCCAACTGTCTGAGCTAGACACCATGTGAGAAGACAAAAATGGCAACAGTTACAAGAATGCGAAAGACAAAAGGAATTCATGCTAATTGCTGCTCCAAATTAAGCCATGCCAACCATTTCTCACACTTTTTTAAACTTTCACTGAAAAGCTTCCAGCAGTGTCAAAAAATATGATGTGGTGTGAAGGCTGTTATGCGTGCAGCTGCTAAAATGGAGAGCCCTCAAACGACGTCGCAGGAAATGACACTGGTGCAGTACGAAGCACATTTTAACTACTTTGCTCTTGAAAACTTCCCAAACGCCTTTGTCTAAAGGGTCTCAGCAGCACTCCAGCACTTGTTACGTTTTTTAATCACCCTGGAGGGTAAACTTATGTTTATCCACAACAGTCTTCTTAAGCATCCACTCGAAATGGCTGCCGTCACCGACACAAACACGGCACTCCAGTCTCTCCTCAGCTTGTCAATCAGGGAAGCGGCGTTAAATATTTGTGGTGAGGAGGGTAAAAGGTGCTGCATGGATCGCCCAGGCCGCATTTGCTCGGCAGAGGATGGCTCACTTAGTATTCCGCAAGGAAGCGCTTTTGGACCGGAGAACAGTCGATATTATTGAAAATACAGTCATTCACCGTCGGCTGGCCTGCAACTTAGGACCACGCAGATAATATATCCTGCTGAATTAGAATCAAAGCCCTCGTGATTTGAAATCTTCCACAGAACAATTCAATAACATGTAGCAACTGCGGTATGAGACAAAAAAAAAAAATGAACGCCTGCATCCTGAAGACGTGAAAGTGAGATTTAATGACAGACTGAGAACGTAGTGAAGGATAATGACACTTGGACATACAGCTAACTAAATCAATAATGATAGTACAAGCTGTGCCTCAACACTCCAGTTCACTATCAACAAATAAATTCCCCACAGTGTATGACACACAATAAAACCCAGCAATAAATAGAGGTAATCAATCACTGCTTTATTGGATCTTATCGCCTGCATAAGTATACCGAGGGCCCGCCTCTAAACTTTCGCAACTTTTTTTTCCCCCAGACAAAATTTGCACGATTTACTCTCGGCTTAGAAAACGTGCCACTCGCCATGAGCTGTCAGAATAAGTGAGGATTTGCTTTTCAAATAAAGCTTTGCGGCGGGCACCGGGGAACATTGATTCATTGTGAACAAAATGATTTTCAAAGTTTCCTGTTCTGCCTGCCCTATTCATTTCAGGGGCTGATGGACTGTTTGTCTCATCCCACCCACCTGAGCCAACTAATTCCTCACTAAGCCCAGATTATTTGCAAAGGTGTCTGGATCCTCTGTGCTCAGAGACAGGACTGGACTGCAAAGAAGCCACGGCGACACCAAACCACCCACCCACCCACCTCACCACCCTAACAGCTGTCCACTGCTGCCTGCCACTGTGTACTGAGACAGAGCAAGAGAGAGAGAGAAAGAGACTTTACACTGTTTTGATTTTGCCTGGTTTGAGCACACTGTTTGCCAACCAGAGGCTCATCCATAAAATTTCAAATGTTCCGCCTCGGAACTAAATAAAAAGGTACATGAATAGGCGTGTCTGCACGCTTCAAAACATAATGGAAGGGGACATGGTGAAGTTAGGCAATCCAAGGACTACACCTGATTATTTTCATCTTTATACAACCGTCCAAACGCTTGTCACGCACATGCATCTTAAATATTTCTCGACAAATTCAAAAGAATCCTTTAAGGACCACGACCCTGTGCTCAAACTGTGGTATTATTTGTAGATTATTTTAATTACCATACCATTCCACCATCTGCATGACAAATGAGCTTTCGGTGAAGTGTTTATTAGCACGTCAAAACATAAACATGCACGAGGGCGGGTGGGTACCAGTTAACGGGGTTAATTCTAGTTTAATTCGTTGGGAAACGGCACGCTTGTCGATAAGGTGGAATAGACAAAAGGCCAATCAAGCCGGTGCATTTGAGAAATGCGTGCTTCATTTACTTTCAGCGCGCGGTGTCGGATGGATTTTTCTTTTGAATCCAGACCAGAAAGACCTTCTCAGTCACATATTATTGTAAGTTAGAGCCGCAGAACTTCTTGTTGTCTCCGTCCTCGCTGGCTGTGGGGAAGGATGCTCTCCTCTCCTTCTAATTGTTAACAAGAATGAAAACGTTTGATTGCGCTTGCTCTTTTTTTAATGCTACAAATCCAGAATAAAATAACTCTGGCCATTGATCCGGCCACTGGAATCGACATTAATTTGAGTTCACTTCTCACTTTGCACGGGGATCAATGAGAAGCAATAACAACTGACATCGGCGCTGAAAAGGACAGAGCAGAAAACGCAGGGGTGAAAATCGAAACGCTGACGAATAAATCTGCTGCTTTTCTTCCATCCTGTTGTCTCATTGAAACTCGAACCGAACTATTGTGTTAAATAAGTCGGGGCAAAAATAAATAAACAAATAAACTTTATGGGTTGAAAACTTTAAATCAGACTAAAAGAATGGAAATGCGATGTTAATGTTTTGGATGCAGGAGCGCAACAGCTAGGGTGCAGTGATTTAATTTGGTTCATTTGCTTTTAATAATAATTTTGATAAAACGGGTTAAATAAACATACAAATAGAATTTAGACTATTTAAGATATCGAAATGTTTCTACAGATGTTTTGCATAATCCTCCATGTATAATTAGAATGAAAATGAATTTAAAAAGAACACTGAAGACACTATAGTGGATTTCACAAGGCTCCGTATCTCACTGTCCATTACTTAGCCTATATTTAGCAAATAATCTAATTTAACATATTCCAGTGATTTTGGCTCTACTCGCTCCAGTACAAATATCAATTAACACACTTATCTTAAAAGACATTGTACTCTTTGAGGACCATAATTTCATTCTGTAATGCTATTTCCGAGATTCAAAAACATAAACTTGATGTTATTATTTAAACATCTATGTAATCATCAAATACGGCCAAATGAAATATTAAGTGTAATAAAAAAGATTTATGACTAAATTAAATATGACAATTAAATATGGAGCAAATTAAGCGTGTAATTGTGAAAAATTATTCGGCCAGTCTGAATGAAAGCGCGTAAATAAAAGCGCGTTCCTGACCTGTAGAACAATTTAAAAAATAAACAACGAATTAAGTCATTTAATATAGATTTGGGAGTACCACACATTGTTTGTTGCTGTTGCTGTAAATATAAAATATAAAGTTATAAATAATAATTTGATTTAATTACAATATATACACAGTTGTAAAGTGCAAAATAGTTTCATATTTACTGCACAAGGCCGTAATAATGGAATAAAATAATAAGCTAATAAACTCCCTCTTACAAATGAAAATTCACAAATGAACGATGTTAAATGAAAGAGGCTATTTACTTAACAACGAATGTATTCTGTCACCCTAAATATAAATAATTAATGTGACTGTGAAGAAGAAAAAGTCTGTAAGGAGAATTATAGGGTGTTTAGATATGTAGCTCTGTCCTAACACTGAAAATATTAAATAGAATAAATAAACCCCTAACTGTAAGCATACTATGACGCAAAACTGCTACTTTAAGTTTCAGAATTGAAGACAAGTGTTTTGTTGTGATTGCTTTTTTTTTATCTCTAATATTTATTTGTTGTTGTTGTTGTTAAAAATAGATTAAAATAATGTTGTTATAAAAAACAGACTAAAGATAAAGCGTTAGTAGAATTATTCAAATGATTGAAAACTGTAAATAATAATTTAAAAAAAAATCTAAGCAACGCGACAATGTTTTTAAAACACTGTGGAGTTTATACACTAAAAGATAAGTCTTAGATAACAAGTCTTAGTCTGAAAGCTTTGCCCCGAATTTTCCTTGGAAATTCTATTAACAACTCATGAGCACAGCGGAACCACTCCCGTATATGTTGTGTAAATTGTAGCGACCCATAGTAAACAGGTGTTTCCTTGCACCTTGTTTCCTTACTGCACGGATTCGATCCAGTTATAAGTGCTATCCAACTAACTGCTCCGAGTAGGCCTAAGGTTTTCTTATTTAACAACCATTGTTGACAGATGAATTTAAAACTAAACATTTCTTTTTCAATTAACACACATGCGCACTTAGAAGAAAAATAAAGAGTGTAACTCAGGCCAACAGTCTATTGTGGCTTGAGAACAAAATATAAATTATCCGCAACATTGGTCTCGAGCGCATTAGTTCCCGCTCAGATTACAGACTATAAATGGAGAGGACTATAAATGGAAGAGTTAAATCTTCACTCACAGGAGAAGTTCTCACGTCCACTACCAGTCACAAATTAGTTGGAAGCGTAACTGAACTACCCAGGAAGCTGGTTTAAAGCCCGGTCTGCACTGACAACGTTTGGTTATTAAAGGTTAACCCACTAAACATCACACACAAGCATGTTATACCGCAGACACGAGCACATCACCACGGGTATCATTATAACATGTTCCCTTTCAGTTCCATTAACCAAAAACACTAGTATTTCAATGACCCGCCTAATTTCCCACGACACTAGAAGGCGCTTGTGCAAGAGAGCAACATTAAATGAGAGTTTATGTGAACCGGCATTATTAAAACGTAACGCCGTGATAAACAAGATTGTTTAGGGGCATAATGATTTGTTTGTTAATAATATATACACATCTTTTAAGCGTAATAAGTGTTTCTCACATTCTCAGATGAATGGCATTCAAGTCAGTTAACCAGAGGTCAAATGCGCAATTTCAGCAAACTTTAACCCCAGGAACTGATGTTAAAGTCAAAGCAAAGTTAGCTGCTGAAATGTTATAGGAGTTCAGCAGCTCTTCCACACTAAAAGCGAAGGTGCTCCATAGAGTCACTAAAATGATTGCCGCAATCAAGCCATTACGCGCGAGCGAAACATGGTCTCTGATAGGAGATCTATTGAAATAATAAAGTTGCGCATCATCGCCTTAACTCAATTTCCACACAACAAAAAGCAAACAACAACAATAACAAATGCCGTACTATCCTGGAGCAAGAGACAGCCACGTTAGGGTGCGTTAAATCAGGCTCGGGGTCACTTATTAAACAGTCCGATAAAACTAGATTTCTCCACAGAAACATTAGACGAGTTCCCACGGGATCATAAAAACAATCTCTGTCAAGACATTCAGAGCACTTACGTTGTTTAAAAAAATCCCTTGGAAGGTTTAGCTGTGCTTTTATCCCCACAACTGAAACTTTTCGAAACAAGCGAGCGAAGATCACCGCGAAGCATGAGAAGCAAAGTAGAGTCGCACCTCGAGGAAAGAACGTGAGACGGTCGCCGCGCGTCAGACAGAGTTTCCCGGGTCGTGTCGTGCGTTGAGAGTTGTATCAGTTACATGTACCGACGAGATCGAGTCTGCGTTCAGTAGCAAAGTAGAGACGATAGGCAGAGATTTGCTCAGAGGTGGAAACAGTGTTGGAGGTGCAGTGCTGCCGCTCAGCGCCAGGTTCGCTCATTGACTGACATTCATTCTCTCCTCCTCGCGCGCTGAGGACCCCGACCCCCCTTCTCCACGCTCCCGTGGGGGATCTCATGGGCTGTTTTGTGAGCACGGAATGAATTATCGTCTCTCTTCACCACTTAGAAGACCTGGAAAATGAAGTCCACGACAAAACAAAAGATGTTTCAACAAAGCGCCAGGTCTTTACAGAAATACGTAAGTGTGCAGCGTCCCATTGCGCGCACCGGGTTGGCTCCGAGTTTAGCTATTTTAGTCCATATAAGTCGCATATAAGTGTGTTAACATGCTGTAAAAAGTAATTCTAGTCTACCTGTTGCTTATTTTTGCACATACCTGCTATTGAAGTTGAATAAGTACGACGAATTCCTTTCGAGAACATTTGTCAATCTGCAAAAAAACGGAAAACGTACGTTTTACTCATTTATAATTTTTTTTATATTAAACAAAATGAAAGCGAACATATATAAGCTGCCATGATATTGTTTCTACAGCTTTACTTAAAATAAATGACAGTTTATAGGTAAACATGTTCAAACAGTAACAGACTCCTTTGAATCGTCACCACGCAGAAATCCACCTGCTGGACAGAGATGGAATTACACTTTGTTTCAGCCTCGAGCAGAGAGCTAATATAAAGCGCAAGTTTACAAATGTCTTTCTTTGTAAACGATGCTTTTTTTTTCTTTTTCTTTTTTCTTTTTTTATAAATAGTCAGTAGAAGAAGTTTGTTGTGTGTGTTCCCAGGCCAGAGTAATAGGAGGGAGTGCAATGTTGGGGTGATGGGAGGGCAGTAGCCATACATATATGCATTACTGCATTACATTAGCACTCTCTTATATTGCTAATGACCTCCGTTAAAGCATCAGTAAAACAGAGGAGGAAATAGCCCATCCATGTCCAAGGTCCCTTTCCATTCAAAATCAAATTTCAGGCCTCAGTCTCTTAACATGTCTCTAAATGGACTGGTGTGGATTGGTGAAGTGCTTTGATGACAGCTCTTTTTACCAGGCTTAAGCACAAATCCTCTCCTCCATTTCCAGAGCCCCTTGATTCGATTGAAATTATTTTACATTCTCTCTGGACTGTATCAAATAACAAAACATATTACTATGACTTGACTGAATCCATTACAAGCAAAGCTGGGACATTTATAAATCTACACTTCAGTCAATGTAAAAGTTGAGGTAGCCAGAGAGCTTCATCCGAGTGTAAATGATCCGCTTTCTCTTTATGAAAGAGAGGCATCCTACTTTTAGTGACCAGTGCAGAAAAAGTTTGAATTTAGATAAAAGATATTAACTGTTAAATCAAGTGTTTTTGTTTTAAAATATACTTAATGTTTGATGAAAAGTGTTAATCTGGCCTGATAACTGCTCTTTTTATTGCCATCAGGTCTCATTTGTCATTCTTACCATATCACATCCTTGTGAAGGCAGAAGAGGAGTAAAAATCATCACCGTTTGAAAGGGAAGTTAAACATCACACATTAATTTACTTTGAGTGATTCTGACTTCTCAGATGTCTCTTCAATGCAGAGCACAGTGATAATTGAGGGACCTGTGTTGAGGCAGGATGGCCGCTGTAATAACAGAGACATCTCTTCAACACACCAGTCAGGTCTTAATTATTACCTTTACAACTGTGGTTGCAGTGAAATGGGTACCAGAGGACCTATAGCGAGATGTCCCGCACAATGGAGCCTCAGCACAGATTCCTCATTAGCATATGTCAGCCATGTGCTTCAGATGGCTATTCATTTCTGTCACTTAGCACTTAGAAGTGCTCATGCTAAGAGCTGGTAAATTAAATGCTGTATTCCTGCACTGTAACCTAAGATTACGCCGTTGTCACTGAGATTGTCTCGCTAGTAGATTATTTAAAAAAAATATATATTTTTTCTTTTTTAAACGACAGGACAAAAAAAATGTATGGACGTAATGGACAAGCAAAATGGTGCTGCTGTAGAAATAACTGACAGTTACAATATGAATGAAAACCAGACCTGAGGATCACTTTTCTTTTCACCTGACAAAAACAAACATGTTACCCCCAGTCTGATGTGAAAATTAAAGGGATATTTCACCCAAAAATGAAAATTCTGTCAACATTTACTCACCCTCAATTCATTCCAAACCTATATGACTGACTTAGTTCTGTGAAACACAAAATAAGATATTTTAAAGAACGTTGAGGTTCAATGTTTTTACTTTCATTGTATGAACAAAAAACATTTTTCAAAATATCTTTGTATTTTCATTTTTTGGGTGAAAGTCCCCTTTAATCACTTTTCAGTAGATACAGTTATAAATAGGATTCAGAAATTAGATGTTATACCCAGTCTGATATGAAAATTAAAGCTAGTTCACCCAAAAAAGAAAATTCTGTCATCATTTACTCACCCTTATGTTGTTCTAGATCTGAATGACTTTCTTCTGTCAAACATAAAAGAAGATATTTTCAAGAACATTGGAGTCCAATAGTTTTTTGTCTTTCATTGTATGAACAAAAATCATTAAGACATTTCTCTAAATAACTTCTTTTTTATTTTCATTTTTTTTGGGTGAATTAACCCTTTAAACACTTTTAAGTAGAAACGAGTATAAATAGAATTCACAAATGAGGTGGAATGATCCCTGTATCAGTCCTAAAGTCTAAAAAGAACACAGAGAATTAGAGACAAAGATAGAAATGGAAGATGAGTGTCACACTGAGATTCCTGCAAAAAAAAAGCAATCATTAAATTGCTCTTTCACTCTTTTTCTCAACCGTTTCCTGTACTCTAGGTGTCAAGAAGAAGATTCATCCCAGCACGGAAGCTGATTCGGCCTGCTTGCCTTTTTTTTTTTTTTTTTTTACCAGAATTACACAAGGCCTCTCTTCTTATCTAAATCTGAAGCCAAGGACACCCATCACTCTCAATGGATCTAATATTCTGTTGCTACAATTTACACACATGCACAAATACACACAAAAGAACAGAGAGAGTGAAAGACAGAGGGGGAGAGCGAGTGCATTCATACTGTAGACAGTGCTACATGATCAAAGGCGACGGGGAGAGAAGGGGAAACGAGAGCTCTAAAAATGGTTCTGCAGCTGATTCTGTGAGTCCTGGCAGTCACTTTCTCCAAATACACACACACACACATGCTCGGCACTTTCATATTTAACTAAAGGCAGGGCCCGGCGTGTGTCACACTCCAACAGGGGGACACGCAGCTTTCGCTCGTTTGAGGAGCGGAGGCTTTGTTTCCTCTTGGTGGTGTGGCACCGAGTACCTGGGGGGTAAGAGATTGTTTCTCTTCTCTCTTAACAGGAAACAGAATCAAGAATGAAGGGAAAGTGAGACAACACAAGCAGGGAAAACCGATTGCTCTCAGGTTTCTCAGAGACTCCGCTCCAGAATATGGTGCTATAACTCCCCTACATAAAATCAGAACCAGGATCAGAATCAGAAGAGCTTTATTACCAAGTATGTTTACACACACAAGGAATTTGACTTGACGACAGGAGCTTCCAGTGTAGAAGAAAGTACAAACATAGTGCAGACATACATGATAGTGCAGACATACATAGGAATAACACAGTAGGGATGTAATATAACACTAATATAATAAAAAAGAAAAATTGAATAATGTACTATATACAGAAATAGAAGTATAGGAAAAAATGTAATTATTTAGATAAATGTACAGATATGTTTATTAGTGTGCAGATATGTTATTTACAAAGTGTGCAGTTTAATATAAGTATAACTATGTTAGTTGTGATGGACGATGTATAATTATGAAAGATTAATTGTTCAGACTGAATATAGCCTGTGGGAAAAAACTGTTCTTGTGCCTGGCTGTTCTGGTGGTCAGTGCTCTGTAGCGCCGACCAGAAGGCAACAGTTCGAAGAGAGAGTGGGCTGGGTGTGAGGGGTCCAAGGTGATTTTTTTAGCCCTTTTCCTCACTCTGGAGATGTAAAGATCTTGGAGGCTGGGCAGAGGGGCACCAATAATCCTCTCAGCAGTCCTGACTGTCCGTTGTAGTCTCTTGATGTCTGATTTGGTAGCTGAACCAAACCAGACAGTTATGGATGAACACAGGACAGACTCAATGATAGCAGAGTAGAACTGTTTCAGCAGCTCCTGTGGCAGGTTGAATTTCCTCAGCTGGCGAAGGAAGTAATGTCCAACAAAACGTCCGAATAATCAAAAACCGGAAAAATATTGGCTGGGATGTGTTGCTTAATGTTAAGGAGTTCGTCTCTGGTAGAACTTATAGAAGAAGAATGACAAAACACAGAACAAACAAACAAAAACAATAGAAGAATCGCGGAGCTCAGCGTCCTGGCTGCCATTTGCGGCGCCATCTTGATCTCATTGATCTCAAATCAATGATTTGTTTAATTTAGACAGAGCTCGTAAATGTGCTAATTTCAGAAACAGCCTACAAATCTAGAGGGCCTTGTTATCCCATTTGCTGCTCCATTAGTTGGGAAATGATACAGCCCAGCATTGTTAAGAAACTGAACGTTCAGTCTGGCCATTCAAAAAAGGAAATAAGTGATGTTGCTCTGATTGTCAATGAAAAACAGAATGCATACCAGCTGATGTCATATAAATTAATTTACATCAGATGACAGTTTATTTAAAAAGACAATAAGTTCATATATTTACATACAAACCTGGCTGTGATCTTTATAAAACTACACTGAAAAGAATTTGGTCTAGGATTTACTTATAAACAATTTTCACTTAGAAATTGCTAGTAAATTTGTACAAATAATTACAAAGAAATGGCAAGTAAGACATTGAATTGATCATGACATTTTGACTGAAATAGTATTTTCTTGTAAAAAAAAATACTCCAATAATCTTTATTTACAACTTCAAAAAATAATTTGTTTATTTGTTTGTTTGTTTTCTGTGAAGCTTTTTCTTTAGTTTGTACCATCTTAAAAATATTCATTCATTCATTAGTAACAGAAATTAATAGGTGAAACTTGAGTAATACAAGTGAGTAATAGCGAGAAATACAAGTTAATAAGATAATGTTATTATAAAAT